ACAATATCTTAAGGAAAAAATTAAATCTTAATCCTATACAAAAATAATTTTTCTTGACTCATAAAAACAATATGAGCAATGGAAGTATCTGCTAAAAATTAATTAAAATTTAGCTATTACTAATATCTTCAAATGTTATCGACTTTATATCTAAATTGAGGTAGCAACATAAATTCATATATGTCTTATATTATTTGTCTTCTCTGAAAGGAATGCATTTAATTAAGATGCTATAGTAAATAACTAAAAAAAAGGAAACAAAAATCGATTGTCATCTTTGTCATAATAATGTTCATGTGTATGATTTCTACAGAATCTATCATATTTTTTAAAATTAAAGAAAATGTGTAGCAACATATCTCGTAGAACATATGAAGCATATTTAATCTACCAAACTTCTTCTGGTTCTGCTGGTACAGGTGGTGCGTAACCAACATCCTCGTATCTATCATCATATGCATCCTTGTTCTGCACAGAAAAATAATTCATATTTATTTAAGTCATACTTATTAAAAATTGATTTTATCAAAGAATTCTTATCATGATTTGCAATATAGAATTATTGTTTAACGATGACTGCAAATAGAAATAAACTATATTAATATATAGGCTGTGTTTGCAAATTCACTGCCAGTACTGAAATTCTATAGAATACGTTACGTAGACTATATGTTTTCAGTACATGACAGTGAATTTATGAACACAGCCATAATCGATTCAATATCAATTCGAAATTTAAATGCAATGTCACTCACCCCTCTGATATCTTCTCCGCCGAATCTTCTTCCTCTTCCTGGCATAAAGGTTCTACTTCCACCACCACCGCCTGATTCTAACCAGTCAGGTACCGGCTGATTAGCTTGCTTCAAAATTTTGACCAAATCACCGGTGAGAGGTGTATCAACATTTGAATCAAAAAACGAAGTTGCCTTGCCGCGATTTCCTACTCGACCAGTTCGTCCGATCCTATGAACATACTCATCTATTGTTTTTGGTAAATCAAAATTAATTACATGCGAGACATTTTTGATATCTAAGCCTCGCGCGGCAACCGCCGTTGCCACTAAGATCATCATCTTTCCTCGTTTAAAATCATACAGGGCTTCTTCTCGTTCTCTTTGTAATCTGTCACCATGTATACTAGTCGTCGGAAAATTGCTTTCTGATAAGAAAGCTGCGATGAAGTCTGTATGTCTTTTCTGTTCGACAAATACTAAAGTACCTTCTATACCTCCCATTTGATTTTGTTTATCTATCAATTCTTTCAATAATTTTCGTTTCTCAGATTGGCCAGATGCTTGATAAAAGTTTTGCTCTACATCAGAGCAAGCACCACCCACAATTCCAACTGCGAGGAATAAATAATTTCGTAAAAATCGACCCGCAAGTTCTTGTATCTCACTCGGGAAAGTAGCAGAGAACATAAGTGTCTGTCTTTCTTCTGGCGCTACCATTGTCTCATGATCTATGATCTTCTCAATATCGGGTAAGAAACCCATATCAAGCATTCTGTCAGCTTCATCCAGTACAAGAAAACGTAAGGAAGAAAGTTTAATTTTCCCTCGTTCCATGAAATCTAATAATCTACCTGGAGTTGCGACTAGAATATGGCAACCATTGAGCACCTTGTGTGTTTGATGACTAACCGATGTTCCTCCGTAAACAAGTTCAGTACGTATGATAGAGCCCAAAGCAAATTTCCTGAACTGTTGATGAATCTGGGAAGTAAGCTCACGTGTGGGCGACACAACAATCACATGTGGTTCGCAGGAAGTATTCGTTTTAATTAAATCTCTTGGATCTTCCAATAGATTATGTATGATAGGAACTGCAAATGCTGCAGTCTTGCCTGAACCGGTTTGTGCACATGCCATTAAGTCGCGGCCATTCATTATAATTGGAATAGCGTATTTTTGAACAGGAGTAGGCTTTGTATAACCTGACTTCTTGATATTTTCTAATAAAATACTTCTGAGGCCGGATCTATCAAAGGATTGTATCGGACGAGGTGCATTCTCACCACTCACTTTTACTTCGATATCGTCGTATTTATCGAAATTTATTCCCATTGACACATCGTTTCCAAACAAGGAATTTTCATCATCGGGTTGCTCTGGCGGAACATAAATTTCCCTCTTCTTTGGTTCATCTTTATTGTCTTCTCTATCACTGCCGTTTCTTCTGCGTCCTCTGTCTCCAGAATCGTTGAAACCACCACCATCATCACCGCCATCTCTGTTTCTACCGTAACCTCTCCCACCTCTATTATCATCTCTATCTCTCCTAGGTCTATCATTTCTACCATTCTGATAACTTCCGCTGTAGCCGTTGTCTTCAGTTTCATCGTTATTGTCATCTCTGTTTCGTCTACTATTATTCCTATCTCGATTATCTTGCCACCTACGATCGTTTCCATCATTGTCGCTTCTGTTATTTCCATGTGGCTTATCATTGTCTTGTCTGTTTCCTCCAAATCTATTGCCATTATATCTATTATTTTCGCGATTTTCATTTTGAGCATTATTATCATAACTTTCTTCACAATCTCCTTTTTTTTTATCATAAGAATTATAACCTCCAGCACTGTAATTTGAGTCATTGTTGTTGTACAGAATTGTACCACGTCCTTTACCACGGCAGGGAGCACGTCCTTCATCAAACTATTAAAACATATCAATGTTAATAATAATTATTATATTATTTATTTTTATGACATATATTTCTATTGTATGTAAAAAAATAATTTAAATGATCATATTCTTACGGAGGACGTATCTACTGGCGCCTGTGAAAAGTCCAACTCATCATCACCTCCCCACTGTTCTTCTGCCATTTTTGTCTACAATAATAAATATATTGCATATGTATATATAGCATATAAATATAGAAAATTATTTAATTATATATATATATATATATAAAATTGATAAATATGTTTAATAATATGTTAATAATTATAAAAATAAAATGAAATATAAGTTATTTTATAATACAAATTATATATTATAACAAATAATTTTTTAAATTTTAACAAAAAATAATTTAATCTAATAACAATCAATGTACAAATTAAAAAAATAAGAATGATTGAAATCATGAATAACATGATGTATTAAGAAAATAAAAAAGCAAAAATTTATTTTTTGTAGAATATATAGTTTAAGAATCTATAGAATCTACTTAAGATTCTTTTAAGAATCTATCTAGCTAAATGATTTAGAAATATTAACATTATGAATTATACTTAATAAATTTTTTTGGATAATTTCTGCTTCATTCATTCAAAAATATAGTTTCATAAAAATGAAAAACTTCATGATATAATTTCATGATAAAAAATAAAAACTTCATGATAAATGACTGGACAAGATATATTAATGGATGCATTCAGCAGAAAAAGCAGCTTTGCAACTATAAAAAAAATTCTTTAATATGATGATCTTTGTCCTTACTGGATCTAAATATATAAACCAATAATATTTAAAAAGGATTTTACAACAGATGCAAAACTGCTTTTTTGCTGAATATAGCTAATGTTTGAAAAAACGCATACTTATTTTTTATTTTATATATCAACTTACTTAGAAATATATTCTGAGAAATGAAAATAGAATATGAATGTATGATCATTTAACAAATAAATTAGAAGCATAGAAATATAAATCTTCAAGGTAATGACATATAGAAAAATATAAGCAGTAAGACTTTAGCAATAAGTGAATCAGCCAGTTTAGAAAATTATTGAAAATGTAAAATTATCATCTTAAAACTGAAAATCTTGGCTGATTGATCATTTTATTTAGTACTCATATTTCATTTCCTTTTTTCTATGTGCTAGTAATCCAAATGACTCAATTATAATTGAGTTATCAAAAACGAGATAATTTTAAAATTTCCGGTATGATTAACTGGTTTGCTTATAACTAAACAGTCAAGTTTCTATATGCCATTGGCTTAACAGTTTATTATACCTCAAATATTGTTCATTCTTAGAAATAACAGGAAGACATATTCTATTCCGTGAATAAAACAAAATAGATTTTCTCTAACAAACTTCAAAATAATTGATTAAATCATTTGATATTCTTATAGTTTTGTTTCGATTTTTTTTTTTCAATATTTAATATTTAAAAAAATTGCAACTGTATCTATACAGAAATTTCTTCTTTTAAAGTCGACTGCTGGCTTGTTTCAGAAAGAATACAATAGAATAATAAAGGTATACATAGAATAAAGGTATATACATAGAATAAAGGTAAGAAGGTATATATAGAATAAAGGTAATACAACAGAATAAAGGTATTCATCGAGTGCCCTTCAAAGTTCTAGACTATCCTCTAGCAGACAAAAAAAATCCAGGAAAACAAAAAATGCGTACGCACACGTTTGTTGTCACGGACCAGAATTTCTACAAAAAAAATCGTGCGAGACTTCCTGTAATAAGTGGCAACGTCACGTTGGTCGAAGCAATGTACAGTAATCAATGTATTTCGTATCCCACTTTTGCATAAAAAGCCGGTCACGATTAGAACACAAGACGTCGAGAACGCGAGAAGACGAATATGATATCCCGCGCCAATCTAAACGTAATTACAAGACGTATCACGTGATAGTCGATAATAACCACACGTTGTCCAGTTAACATGGCCGCGATGAAATGCGTCTATTTTACTAGCTAACATACCTCAAGTTTTTGATGGCACTCGAAAACGAAATATTCCTCGTGTCCTTCCCTCGTGTTCCAAGATACCGACGTTAATAATGGCGGTATTAGAGAAGTCGAAGATAACGTAATCCTCTATGTACAAAACAACCGACTGATACGTGTCGTTCGAGCGAACGGCGAGAACTGTATCTGCTCGATCGGCTCCGTGTGCCGTTGTGCGCCGCTCCTCGGCGAATCAGTACGTCGGAGCCCGACATCACGCATGCGCGCAATATGGCGCGCAATATTTCCGGACTTCTCGGGCGCTAAACCGCTTTTCGTTCTTTTGTTCTCCATCGTGGGGATAAAACAAAATATTATATCCCAACGGAGATATGTGGAATTTACATAATTGAGGATAGGCCATGATGGCGCATTTATGGCATCATTGATCTGTACAATTCGAATTGGCACGGAATTCGAGTTTGTTTAATAAAAAATCGAGCCGGTTTTGAATCTCCAATTGAATTTCCGAGGAGACACCTACCTGCGTACTCGAGAAATACCAACTAATACGAATCTCTTACGCGACCAATAATGTTGATCAATAATATTGAATCGGTAAGACTGCTAATGGACATTAATATTACGTTTACACGATTAATATTATTGACAATATTTTATGTATGTACATTATTTAATTTAATGTAGAAAAAATATAGAAAACAGACACATTGAAATTTTAATAATTTAAATTGTATATATATATATATATTTAAATAAAATAAAATAATTTATATTAATTTATTTAATTTTTATAAATTAAATAAAATAAATGTTCTTGTATAAAATTTTTTATCGGATAATTATTTAATATAAATTATATTATAACAAAAACATAAATTTATAAACAATTTTCAAGCAGTCTCAATCTTTTAATAACATTGTTATCTGTAGATTACATCATTATCAATAAATATTTCTGTTCCTAAAGTGTATCAAATAAAAATAAATACATATATGTTATATAACTAAAACCTGCAAGATTAAATCTATCGCGGAATCGATTGATTCAATCTTTATTGAATCTGATAATCTGAGATATTCTCAACTAGATAGTTTGTCTCGCAGTTTCTGTAATAAGATATATTAAGATTTCAAAATAATAGATCAATTTATTTGTACTTTAATACAAATATTTGAAAATTAATAACATGGAAAGCTTGTACTTTCATTTTCAATATAGTCTAGAAAGTTTCGTATTCGTAAAAATTTCGAGTCAGATTTATGTCGGCTTGTAAAAATTTATTACCCCACTTCGAAATAGTGAAGACATCTGGTTTATGTCGGCACTTGACATTGTAAAGAACGCAAACGAAATAGTGTGGCAGCGTATAATGGAGAGAAAGACAGACAGTGAAATACAAAACAAAACACGTTTTCTTTACTAAGAGATTGTGTTTACCTGATGGTTAAAAGATAATATTACTTTAGACTTCATACATATCTACATACCTTCATACATATCTACATACCTTCATACATATCTACATAATGTATACTCAGTAACAGATTTTTATGAATTCTTCAGAGAAAGAGAGAGAGAGAGAAAGAGAGAGAGAAAGGAAGGGACAAAGAAATATATCATAAAGGAATCTGATTTTTTTTTAATATTGTTTCCAATATGACATATTAATAACATTAATATATATATATATATATATATATATATATATATATATATTATAC